GAAGTTGACCCAAGCTCTCACTGCCAAGTATTTTGAATGATGAAAATAACCACCACCTCAACTTTGTTCTATCAAAGATCCATACACACAAAAAAATCACACTTGAAATGAAAAGAGGCAGAAGAAAAAAAATCTTATATCTGCCTTTTTCCCCCAAACTTAATTTCAAGCAATAATAATCAAGAAACAAAACAAAATAAAAACTTGAATTCCTTTTCAAACAACAACTTTTGGTATACATTATACAATTTCATATTTCTTTAACAAACTTATTTTTATCATTCTATTAAACAAACATATTGAACCAACATTTTTCTTATCACTTTCTAGATTATTCCACAATCTCATTTCTTGAACTAAAGTGCATCTTTCCTTCAAATTTATTTGGATTTTAGGTTTTATAAACATCTCAAGTCCTTTAAGATTATACAAACTTTCTCTCAACAAAATATAATTGATGTTTAAAGGTAAAATTTTTGTATGAGCCCTATGCATCATCTGCAAGATATGCATGCATGCGATTGGCTGATTCGACATTTGCATTAATGAGCAGTTGGACAGGTGTACCTAATATATATATAAACAAATTTCACACTTTTAAAGGAACCTTAGGAATACAACCTAACTGATTTTAATCTGTACATGTTAGTTTTCTCTGGGTACTCCTGTTTCCTCCCACAGACCAAGTACAAATGGGTTAGGTTCAATGGTAACTCTAAATAGACTGCAGGTGTGAGTCGGAGTGAATGGTTGTTTGTCATTTATCCCTGTGATTGATTGGAGACCTGTCCAGGTGTCCCCCATCCCTCTTCAGGTGACCAGCCAGGCACCAGCCTCCCACAAACCCAAGTCCCAACCCCACCTTCAATATTTCATAAATCATGTTAGATAAAACACAACATTATACCACCTGAATAAAGCTTTCAGAGTCGGTTTTACTGTGACATATGTTTAGACATGGCTGACCTTAAACAACATTTATGTCCAAGAATAGTTTCATGTTAGGATAAAGTTGTGGAAAAAAGGATCAAAAGGTGAACATCTTTTTGTAATTTAGCTGAACCAACACATCCTGTTTTTCCTGACTGCTTGTCTTGTATTTTCAAAAGACAATGAAATATTTATTTTTAAACAGCTTAGTTTGGAACAATTCAAAGAGTACAGGTGCTGTTCATAAAATTAGAATATCACGAAAAAGTTTATTTATTTCAGTAAAATATTCAAAATTCAAAAAGTGAAACTTGTATATTATATTCATTCATTCATTAATTACACACAGACTGATATATTTCAAATGTTCTTTTTTTTTTTTGTCTTTTGGACAACTGTCCAGTCAGCAGTCTTCTCCATGATTGTGTAGCCTGCAGAACTAGACTGAGACCATTTAAAGGCCTTTGCAGGTGTTTTGAGTTAATTAGCTGATTAGAGTGCGGCACCAGTTGTTTCAAAATTAAACCTTCTGAGACACTGAATTTGGAGTTTTCATTAGTTGTCAGATATAATCATTAAAATTAAAATAAATAACATTTGAAACATATCAGTCTGTGTGTAATGAATGAATTTAAAATACAAGTTTCACTTTTTTAATGGAATAACTGAAACAAAACTTTTTCACAATATTCAAATTTTATGACCAGTGTATCCTCTCTCAGGCTCATGGTTTTAATTGGTGTTGTCTTAATCATGACCAGATATTTTCAAAGGACAAAACGATGAGTGGAATGAAAGTACACTACAAGTTTCTCTCATATAAGCATCATCTCGTCTTCATTTATCAGGATATCTGCTCTTGTCATGAATTATAGTTCAGTTTTATTTTGGTTTTGTCCCAAAGCTCTCTGGTGTGCAGGTGTTACATCAGTCCACCTCCAGGTGTCAGCTGCTTTTAGATGAGAACGTTAACAACTGTGTGTTCTCTGAATAATAATTATTTTAGTTAACCTGTTGCCAGTTAAATCATCTAAATCCATCCATCCATCCATCCATCCATTTTCTTCCGCCTATCCGGGGTCGGGTCGCGGGGGCAGCAGCTTCAGAAGGGAGGCCCAGACCTCCCTTTCCCCAGCCACTTCTTCCAGCTCCTCCGGGGGAACTCCAAGGCGTTCCCAGGCCAGCCGAGAGACATAGTCCCTCCAGCGTGTCCTGGGTCTTCCTCGGGGCCTCCTCCCGGTCCAACTAACCAAGTTTTAAAATCTTATATCAGCCTAAAAGTCTTTTTGATCTTGTTTTGAGAC